TGCATGTGTGTATGCATGTATGCATATGCATACGAACATGTGTTATGATAACACTGTTATCATTTAATGTACATATATGTATTGTGTGTTTTGCTCTATATTTCGGGCTACGTGGCACATATTGTGCCATGGTTTACATATCTTCATATATTGGCAGCGTGGTCTTTCAGGAACTTGGAGCTTGTTTCGGGCAGTTGAATGCGGCCGTTTTCGAGACTCCTAGCCCCTGAGCCAAACACCAGATCTCAAGCACTAAAGTTTAAAGCCCTAGCACCGCAAACCCCGAAACCCTACAGCCCAGAATGAACCCACCTTAACCCTAACATCTGAAAGCCATAAAGGGTCCATATAGAAAACCTCGTGGAACCCGTGAACCCTTCTAAACCCAAACCCTGCACTGAAGCGACATGTGCGGCCTAAGCCAGGGTGCTGCCCTGGTTGGCCCGCAGCCGGAGGTCGATCCAGCAAAAAATCGAGGAGTAAAAGGGTTTGAAAGGGCCTTGCGAGGGCTTTCGATAACGGAATTAGGGTGATTCGGGCTTTCGGGTAGATGGGATGTAGGGTCTTTAGGGTTTGAAGTTTGAAGGTTTAGGGCTTCAGGGTTTTGGGGTTTGGATTTTAAGGTTTAGCGTTTTGGCTAGGGGCGAGTTGGGGTTTCAGACTTTAAAGCTAGCTAGCATGTTCGATGGTCCATAATGTATCCCTGTACTAGACTATACGACGCAGCCCGACGTCATCCATGGGAGCCCATCACTGGTATTTGTACAGCGTAGTGCTCGTGTGTTTTCGCAGCGGACTCTAGGCATACTGTAGCCCTTGTTTACGCGATGTTGGGCCTCTGCCTGCCCCACATGTAGTGACATGTGATAAGCCCACGATCCGAAACCGCCCAACCCCCAAACCCCGAAACCCTGAACCCTTAAAACCCCAGAATCTCGCCCCGAAAACCCGAAAACCACTACGCTCTGCAAACTCCCCAAACCCCCTTAGCCCTATTGCTTATTCTGCTTCCCTTCGAGCCTTTGCTTCCCAGGATGAGAGGCGCGAGAACGAGCGAAGGGCCGCCGAGGCCAGACCCGGACGGCCCAGGTTAGTCCATCTGCCTTTGGGTTTAGGGTTTAGGGTTTAGGGTTTAGGGTTTAGGGTTTAGGGTTTAGGGCTTAGGGGATTTGTCTATGTACCAAAAAGAGCTGAGCCCCGGTAAGGCCCCGAGATGATGCTCGGCGCATGATACCGGATGGATGTAGGAATGCAGCCTGCGAGGATATTACAGCACTGTGAGACATGCTGTGCGAGGTGACGCGTTTTCTACGCAGTGACAGTGGCGCGACATTGCCAGCTATCTATAGTACGTATTACACCGGCTTTTCTTTATGTTCTTCTTTGTTCGGATCTGGCAGATGAGATTAAAGGATTTTGCTTCGTGTGTGATTCACCATGAAATACTCTATGGACAGGCCGAAAGCAATAGAGGACAGCAATATCGTGCACATAGACACGCAGCCATGGATACATTCCTCTCCATGGCAGTACATCATATTAAGCTGCCGTACATGGCCTTCTGTTGCGTTTCATATCCTTACGTTGCATCACGTTTCAACACAGTACATTGCAGTACACGATATAGTACATTGCATACACGACATGAATGCCTTCGTGCGTGTGTGCGTGAATGCCTGCCTGCATGAGTATGCACGTACATACATACATACATACATACATACATACATACATACATACATAGACGCATCTATATATATATACACATAAATACATACATACATACATACATACACACACACACCGAAGAAGTGGACTCACAGGGATATGCATTTATGTTGACGCGCGAGCAGGCACATGTACAGCTACAGTGTTTCAGCATCAACAAAAAGTCCATAATGTGATACGGTGTAGTTTGACATCCTATAAGGGCTTGCAGTGAAATTTGTTATGTGTTACATCACTGCACGACTATACTTTAGCCCAGTACTTTATTATCGCCCCATGTTGTACCTGTAGCCGCAGATGTTGCGGAGCCCATTCGGCATGTGACATACGAGATGTCAAATTATACTGAACAATCTGTTTGGCTAGTAGCGTACAAATGTCAAACTAAATGTATCACAAGAGAGTCTGTGATTTCGCGAAATTATCTAGGCTGCCAGGCTGACTTTCTTCGGCTCCAACAACGCAACAGAACGTAAAGGGTTGCGACGGTTTGCATAGACCGGCTTTCAACTGTGGCGCGTTTATTGGTTCAGGAGAGGCAGAGAATCGCAGAAGAGAAGCGCAAAGTGGAAGAAGAGCGGCGCAAAGAGGAGGAGGAGTTGCTTGCCCTTCAAGCGCGTTATTCCAAGTCGACGGATGACAGAACTCCCAGCAGCTCAACAGGTGGAAGTCAACAATCCGTACATACATAATTGAACATTGTGAGTTGTGTGCCGATGGGTCATGTCCGTAGCAACCTTGCTGCTACGCCTGCTACGCATCCCATTCTGATCGGCCTCGCCCATATTGTGACGGGGTGTGTCTCGGTCTGATTTGCATCACTCGTCCGGTTGCCTTGCAAAGCCTGGTAAGGTTCCAGAGGAAGGTGGAGGAGGATCGTCGGAAGCTGGAAGAGGAGAAGCGAGAGGCACAAGAGCGCCTGGAAGCTGAGAAGGCCCGCAACACATACACCATTACAGAGATTTCAGGCACCCGCGGGCTGAGCTTCGAAGTGGATCTAAGACCTCGTATAGAGAGCGTCCTGCAGAGAGTTTTCAGAAAACTAGGGTACCAAGCCATCTGCTTTTCACATGGACCATTCAATCGGCTTTTAACGTGGATGTTGAACGCCACGCTGCCCTTCTGAAGTCTCTGCCCTGCCTGACGGCGAAGCCTTGAATGTAAACCCCACACCCGAAGCTCTCGGCACCGAAAGGCGGCTGCGCGGGCCGAGATCGAGAGCGAGAGGCTAAAAGCTCAGGTGCCGGAAGCCGTACTCACTCAAGGGATTGAGGTCAACTGCCTCATTGCCATAGGGTAGCATAGTATAAGACTAAAGTGTAGCATAGTTTTGCTTAGCATAGCCAAGCAGAGCGTAGCATACACCGCAAGAGAGTGCAACGCACAAAAAACTAAGTGACATAGCTGGTCTCTCGCTCTCTCTCTCTCTCTCTCTCTCTCTCTCTCTCCTCTCTCTTTCTCTCTCCCTCTCTCTCGCCCTCTCTTTATTATATACATGCATATGTATATGTATATATATATATATATTTACATACAGGCATAGCTAGATACATATTTTTACATATGGGTGTAGGGATATACATATGTGCGATTTGATAAAGGTTGTGTTGAAGACATAGCAGCCAAAACACCTCCGTGCGAAACCCGGAGGAGGAGCAGCGCAAGGAAATAGAGAGAATGCGCGAGGCCGGGCGGGATGTGCGTGGATGTGTAATATTGCACATAGATGTAGTACAACACAAGAACCAGCGTACAACGTGGTGAGATATGTAACGTAGCTTTGTTTTCAGGTCCATGGGCGTTAATTGATAAGTGCATGGGTCTGGGATTCGAGACCTACGGCTTGGTTGCTTCACGATCGGGCCAGAACCTTTTCAGGAGATAGTCTTCGTGTGCTGAGGAAGACCACAATCATGCTTGACTGAGGCAGATTTGTTGGTGAAGTTGCATCCCTGAGTTGAAACTCCAAGATGTGTAGTGTGTGTGCAGATTCCAGGCAGTTCTGGCGCTGTTGCTTCCGCAAAAGATGTGAAACCATCGCCATCCAGGAGATGGAAAGGATGAAAGCAGATCACGAGTTCTTCAAGGACAGATCGGGGAAATCGTCCTGCTACTGCTTTTCGGGCATGCTCTAGTTTGAATTTTCGGCCTCGGTTTGGAGATTCAAACTGAGCATTCGTAAAGTTATGGTGGACTGTAAGTCTAGCTTTGCCTAGTCGACGCCTATTCATGAGCTTGCACCGCGGTGAGTCCGGGCATCCACGTGCAAGTTTGCCATTGATGATTGGACCTACATGTGAGAAGTTCAGCTCAGGTAGTGTGTTGTAGAAGGACGTAACTGAAGTGGCTTCTCTCCGAATATCCTGCCAGATGGAGAAAGAAAAGGAGCTGAGAAGAGAGGTCCGGGCTCAAGCATACGGTTCTGATGCGGCTACAGGCATGGCTCAAGGCACACGAACAAGAATCTTGATGTTCAGATTGGTTGCTCGCATCAACAGAGACAGCTAGGGTGTTACAGGCAGATGCACTGAAGTTTAACTCCGTGCAACAAAATATAAAAGCTTCACGCTTGCGAGTTGTTGCTGCGCTATCACCTTCTCCAAGCGGCGAGTTGCATCTACCTTCTGCTGATAGTGCTTAGGGTTTTTGGATAGCGGCATATAGCGGCCCCCGGACCCCAGCTCGTCCCGTGCTGCAGGCGCCCGCGCCCATCATGGAAGTGGCATCACCCTGCCGAAGTTCTCCAAACAGGCCTCGATGCAGAAAGAGGCTTAGAATTTCAGAGAACGAGTGATTCGTCCGAATTTTCACCCAACGAAACAGGATCCTTCTCGTAAGCAACAGGACGGCTATGTTTCAACTGCTAGCTTTTGGCCCAAAGCTGCATGTGTAGCGTTGGGCCCAAACGGAATGAAGGCCAACCAGAGATCGTTCTGATACTCGAAACCAGGAATCGAGCCGACACCCTGAAGCCAAGCTGGAAGCCTTGAGTGTCGCATGATACTCGCTTGAGCCAGTCAGTTGGGATGTAGGGTCTCTTGATCTCTCTGCGCAGGCGGAACTCGAAGGCGCTGCCGGAGGATATCCGTTAAACATGCTGGATTCTGCACATTAAGAATGGAAGAGTCTGGCGTTGCTTCCTTCTTAAGTCTCGTGGAAATTGAAGCCACTTTCCCACCGACCAGGATACAGCCCTGGCCCCAGCAGTGATTTTTCCCGACATCTTCTCCGTTAGGACGACTCGTGCTCCACGGCCCTCGTGACTGACGACTATGATGTTGGAGTCTTGCCTTCAAACTCGCATGAGAGTGCAGACCGTGCCGACCTTCAGGAAGTCGCTATCGGTATCAGACGACATTTTTTGGACTGGGTACTGCCCGGTTTTCGATAGCCACCGCCAACTCGTGGGCAGATGGTGCACTGAGGAAGCAGCATGTCGGTGGTGCTTCAAGACAGAGAACGCGCGCAGATGGAGACAAGAATCAAGGCGCTGGAAGAGGATGCTGCCAAGAGGCGATGTGCCCGCACATACACTCTAGAAGTCTCTTGGAGTGGGAAGGGGCCTGCGGCATGCATGTGGGCTTCCCAAGCATGTCAACACTGGAGTTGCAGGCGATTGCCTGCCATTTATCGTCCTGCTGTCACTCTGCCACGAGCCTCTTCTTCCCGACCTAGATTCCTACATGGCAGGTTGCTCACGTGTGCGTGCGTCTGTTAGTGGGCAGCTTCTGATCTCACTGCATCGCCGTTCAAAGAGGGGCATTTATGCGGCTTGCATGTAGCTTCATACCGCAAGTCCCCACTGTTCCCTTAACTGTTCGCCGCCATGTGCCTCGGAAGGCAACAAGAAGTCTCCACCCTGGTGAAAATGCTCATGTACAAGAACAGGTCGTCTCTTGGACTGGAGAGACCACAAAACCTTGATTCATGTGCACACTCTCAGTCTGTGGCGCACTGTAAGCTTGCATCTCAGGCTGGACTTGAGGATTGACGTGCCTTGTGCTGCAATCTCGATGCGACGTGACATTTCCCAGGGTGCTTCCAACAAATTTCAGCAGCAAATCGTGATTGCCGCATCTCACCCTTAAAGCATAGTGGCACCCCCGTCAGCTCTGACAAGCTCAAAATTTCCAGGCCGAGTTGGAGAGCAGCATGCCTCCCGACAGCGAGTATCCTTTCATCGGCTTGGCCCCGACCACCCCTCGAGGGAGCGACGCGAGGAGGCGCCTGGGGTCAGGGATGTTTGGGGTCGGGGTCGGGCTAGCTTCCAGTCATGAATGAACTTTTTTGCGAGAACAGAAGGAGCAGTTTGAGGGATCTGCTTGTGATTCCCAGCTGGTTTGAGGTCCAAGTTCAAGGTTTACATGGATTGTGTAGACTCCCTTCCCTGGATGTTCAGGTCAGGAACCGCCCCAGGCTAACTGCAGCCCAGACTGCGTATTGAAATGCCTGAAACTCTTTCGACCCGGACAAGGCCAGTTTCCCACAAGTCTCAGCCTTGCAAAAGCCCCGGATGCCTTCTGAGCAGGCCAAAGTCGATGCCTAGGGCCAGCTCGCCATGCCGAAGTGGCAGTAAGACACACAAAAACCGGATAAAGAGTCCCCTTCTACTTCCATCAGTCCATCTATGTGAGGGAGACGAGCTGAGTTATCAGCCTCCTTGTTCGAAGGCTCTCCCTTGGCTCCTCCATCTATCAGGCCTGCCGGGGATGCTGCTGGAGTTTCAGCCACAGCTTCCGGGTGGATTTGTGGTGTTATGATATATTGGTTATCAGGGCATGTAAGCCTGAGCTACAGCGCATGCGCTTCAAGCTTGCGGAGCGAATCACCTCGTTTTTTTAGTATTGTGCGGGAGAGGTTAATTTCAGACAGCTTCCAGACTTGCTACAGCTGGTGCCGGGCGGACCCCAGTAAGGTAACCAACGTGATCGCAGTCAGGACCCCAAGCAGCAGCGGCGGCAGAGTTTCGCCAACAACGACAAGAGATGCTGGAAGGAACAGCGTCGGAAGCTTATGGATTCACATTGGCACCGCATCTGTTGTGAGGTGAGGCATCGTGTGATAGGTTGCTCACATTTGCTTCGTTCTGCATCTGCATCGCCGCACCCAGGCGAGTTCCTGCTGGAAGACATCTATCCTCTCGGCCAGCCGAACACGAAGAGCACGCCTAGCAAGCCGCGTGAAAGGCGGGCGAATGTCGGAATCCACAGGCTTGTCAGCCTAGCAGTCATAGACTCGAATCCCTGTCCTCAAGACCTCGTGGAAAAGTGGCAAGGGATTAACGGTGACGGAGACGTCACATGTGCACTAGGCGCCCAGCGTCTACTGCCTCGCAGGAACACTGCACTGACCATGAGTGTTGCCTTCCGATCACACTCCAGGGTGTTGCAAGCTGTCTGTCCTACACCCTGCCTTGCATGTTATGCGACGAAAACTCGAGGCTGTCCCTGCGCAGTCTGCATGGCGTTGTCAGAACATTCCTTCTATGAGCTTGCACGGACCTGAATCCACACCCCTATCCCACTGTGAGAGGTGGTGTGTCCGTAGAATGCTAGATAGCTAGTCCGACCCCATGTTCAGGCCTTAAGCAGCTTGAAATCTGAATCCGAAACCCCTTCACGACGACAACTCAGTTGACATCTCAGAATTCAATCCAAGCTGCAACACTCGGAACCCCTATATTCCCTTCAGGCGTCAAAGCTGTGGCGGCACTGCCGAAGCATCCCTCCAGGGAGAACGTGTTCGAAGGAATACGCAGGCTCTGGGCTTCGCTTGCCAGCGAGGGAGATGGCTGAGGGTCCGAAAGCATCCTGTCAGGTGGAGTCCAGCGGCTTGAAGCAAAAGTTTCAGCGGGCGCTCGGCTTGGGTCCGTGAGCCGGCACCGCCAAACCTCCACTGAAGCTTCAAAGGCAGACGCCCCTTCAGGTCAATCGTGACAGCACCGAGCCCCCGTCCCCCACACGAAAGTTTCAAGCCCTCCCCCAATCCTTTACTTTAGAGCCTCAAGCCCCCAAGCCCAAAAGCCCTAAACCATGAGACACCTTAAGCCTCGAACCCTCTCAGCCTTGGCTTGCAATCACGCAGCCGCCGAACGGCCCCGAGCGCCCAGCGCATTGGTCAAAGGTCTCGAGAACGCCTCATGAAATGAGCAGACGAACGCACTACATATTCTTGACGTCATTTCCTATTGTCAGAAACTATGACGAGTATGGTTGTGGTGATGTTCGCGAGTTGCTGCTA